TTTTTTTTTCTCTCTGCAGTACTTTGTATTTCACTGTACTTGTTTGGAAAATTGATTCTTCATTTTTATGAGACTGAAAGCTCCTGTAGTAGAGGCATTTAGTTTTAAGCATTTTGATGCTCTATCAGTTGACAGAATGAATTCTTAAATCTAGTACCCTGCTGAATCATATTGGAACCTGAGGCAAAAATAGAAAAGAAAGTGTGCCTGTATATACACTTAACAAAATATCTCCTCATATTTTGTACCAAATGAGAAAAAGTTAATAAAAACTCTACAATAAGAAAAAGTGACTGTATAGAAAGATCCACAGTGCCCAATCTGTTGGACACCATTATGTCATTCTAAGTAGGGGACTCTACCAGTTGAGTAGAAATGGCTATTTCCATAGCATAATAGCAGAGGGTTATAAAAAATAACAGCGTTTGTTTAAAATTCTGATATTTTGTTCATCATAGATTTTTGCATTAATTTTTATGTTAAAAACTGTTGTACTAAATTATTATCTTGACTTTGGAGTGTTTTGGGTACCCCTTAAGTCTTGTACTTCTAGTTAAATCTTTTGGGAGAATTCATGGAGTAATTTCATTTTAGTATCTACTTACGTTTTTATATCTAAGTCACCAGTGTATTCAGGTTCACAGGTGATTGAAAATCTTGAGGACTCATTGAGTTTTTTATTTTCATAAGTGAAGAAACTGACCACAATGGCAAGGTTGAGAGCAGAACTTCTAACTTGCTGTTATTTCTGCTGGCCATTTAGGCTTCCCTGGGGAAGAATGAATCATTTAATTCAAGCATTCTTTTTGCCTTTGATATTAAAGTTCTTAAGAATAAAGAATGTCATTGGAGCATATTGTGTTCATTATTGGAACCATGAATGCATGTTGATCATCCCTAGATCACTTACTTTGAATGTCTGCCAGGTTTTTCACAGAGGTAAAAATGTAAATGGAAACATAGGTGTCGTTATATAAATTGCCTTTCCATTTTGCATAATAGGAGGATCAGTTTTGGTTTTTATGGATAACATTTGAGCCTAGGTCACAGTTAGTTTCTCAAAAAGTTTCACTATTGTAATTATCTGTCTTAGTAAAGTTTTTTTCTGGTTGTCTACAAATAGCTATGCTCTGCCTTGAATTGCCCTCTTGACTTCTGTTTTGGGAATTAAGATTTCGATAGAAACCTTATCTCACCTTCCTATGTAGTTTGCTTCATTAGGGCTGATAAAGTAAAATCCACAGCAAATACAGAACATTGGAGATGTGACAGACAACCTGTTAAAACTCTTTTTTGAGACAAGTTAGGAGTCTGATTGACAGATTGTCCTGTAATATTTGTGAAGCAAAGAGAATTTTCTTATTAAGTAAGGAGTCTGATAGGCTGAAATGTGATAGACTTAGTTTATGATGGGAAATACTGTATTTGAAGCTGTAATTCAGAGAAACTTCAAAAGATTTAGGGGAAAAAAACAAGACTCTTTACATTGAGTACTTCAGCAAACTTACGCTAAAACTACAGGCCTCACAAAAGAACTTATAGTACCATTAGTAAAGTAAGCATTCCGAGAAAGACAAACTGGTCAATGTAGCATCCAAAATGAATAAGAGACCCACACAAAACCTAAGGTCGTAAGATTATCACGATAAAATGACTGTGTAGAAAGCTGTGGAAAAGATAATATTGTAGTCTCAAAATGCTAGCTCACTAATTATTAATTATGTAAGGCAAAGATACCTTTACAATAGGGAAATCCAGCAGATGGCACCTTAATCAGGTGATCAAATATCACCTCCAATAATGAGGAAAATGGTTATTATGTGCCTTCATATGTGATCCTCTGATCCTGTGGGAAATACAGCACCTCTTATTGTATTCTTGCCAAAAAACGCTTCATCTGAATTTAATCGCAAGGAAGCAAACAGACAAATCAAGATTATGAACATCTCACAAGACATCTGATACAGACTTTTCAAAATCGTCATTGTGATGAAACACGAGCAAAAGGAAAAGGAAAATGACAATTAAATGCATTGCGTGATCTCTTGTTGGATCCTGGATTGAAAGAAATCTATTAAGAGCATGACTGGGGACCAGGCATGGTGGCTCACCCCTATATTCCCAACACTTTGGAAGGCCAAAGCTAGAGGATTACTTGAGCCCAGGAGTTTGAGATCAGCCTGGGCAACATAGAGAGACCCTATCTTGACAAAAAGTAAAAAAGTTAGCCAGGCATGGTGGTGTGTTGCCTGTGGTCCTAGCTACTGTGGAACCTGAGGTGGGAGGATCACTTGAGCCCAAGAGGTTGAAGCTGCAGTATGACTGGCACAAGTAGAGATAGACTGTACCTGAAAAAAAAAATGATTGCATCAAAGTTAAGTTTCTTGGGTATGATAATGATATAATGTGATTTAATAGGAGAATATCCTAGTTCTTAGGAGATACATGCTGAATACTTAGGGGCAACATGTTATGATGTTTGAAATTTACTTTCAAATGGTTTTGAAAGCAATGAAGCAAATGTGGTGAAATGTTAGCAATTGATAAATCTGAGATAAACATTCATGGGTGTTATCTTTGTTCTTTCCTCTTTTAGTATGTTTGAAAATTTTCCAACAAATAAACATTAGGTTTTTAACCACATATAAGATGGAAAGTTAAAGTGCCTAAGAACAGAGGTCATCTCTAAAGAATTCTTTGCTGTCAGTTTTTGCTGCCTTATGCATTGGACTTAGAAAAAAAGGTAAAAAGGAATATTTTTAAAACATAAGCCATATGGTATGTAAGAAAACAGAGAGAAACATGGACTATCTTAAAATTAGGGCTGTTTTGTCCATTCATAGTTAATAGTGGATAACTAACTTGGAGTTAATAATGAGAAGGATTGAATATGACTTACTGAACCTTCAGAGATTGATATGTAAGGTGGTTAAGATAGCAGGAGTCTTCATAATTCCAAACTGAAGCCACTCTACAGACTGTCCGAAGAGACTCATATGTCAAGAGTAGTTAAAATAAAAGACGCCAGTACTAGAGCCTAGCCCTTTCATGCTTAACACATGTGTAACGCACTTCAAAGTGAGACTGAGGAAGCTTAAATGTGAGATTTACTTAGGAGGTGATGAGAAATGAGAGTAATCAGGAACTGAGTAGTCAGAAACTATCTTTGAAGGAAATAATTTATAGCTAAGATATTCTTTAAATGACATAATTTCTCTAAATTGTATGTAATGATAAATTTTAGTTTTAAATAAATAAATTAAAAGTTTAAGGCTTTTTAAAAATTGAATGTTTACTTTGAAGGATACAAGAAAAATAAATCATGTATAGACCCTACCCTCAAGGAAGTTATATTGTTGAATTACAATATATCTATCTATAAATCATTGTCATCCTACAAGATGCACTGTGTACATTCCACAAAACAGTGGTGGAAAGTCAACAGGCTTTGGAGTCATGTAATTAGAACCTGTCATTTGCCATGTGCTTTATAACCTTGATAAAATAACTTTTCTTGCATTTATTATTAGCAAAGTAAGGAACCTCTGTTTTGCTTGAGTCATGAGGACAGGACTGACATGTAGTTAACATTGAAGAGATTATAAACATGATCATATTAATGATATTATTGTGACATACTTTCATATAGTTCAGCATTCTGTATTTTTTCCAGAACCCATACCGTGACCTGCCCCTTAGTGGCAACCATCAGAATTATATATGCTGCTGTAGAGGATGAAATCATTTGGGCTGATGTGTCCTGTGAGACCATCTTGAGATATTAATCTGTAATATTTGAATGTGAATATTCAATTTTTCAAGAGTCTACCTCACCATACTCTTAGCCTGGCACATTTTATCATAGATTTTGTCACCTATGTAACTCTATACATTTTGCCTATTTTTATTTCTTTATTTAGATAAAATCATACTGTGTGTATTCCTCTATGTCTTGCTTCTTTTGTTTGATAAAAGATAAACTGAGGCATAGTAAAATTTTAGAGGATTTATTTGGACAGTGATTCATGAAACAGGCAGCTTTAGACTATAGATGGTTTGGGGCTCCACTAAAAGGACACAAGGGAATGATTTTTATAGGGTGAATGTGGAAGCAAGGCAAACGAAATATTTGATTGGTTAAAGTGGAGCATTAGTTTTATTTGGATTATCTCAGTGGAAAGTCTCAGTGGAATGTCAGGATTCCCTGGCACTTGTTTTTTCTTTGTTTAGTGGTTATATACTCTTATTATCTGCTATTTTAATGATTACACTTATATTTTAATATGCATAGTTAACAAAGTATGTAGGTAATCAATGTGTACTCTTTTGTCTGATTTACTACTCCCTCCCCTATCAGAAATAATTACTGTTTTGTACAGTTGACGTTTACAGCTGCCCATATATATACAAGTGTTTTTGCTTGCATCTCTTTCTCTTTGAGATAATTTTTCTTCCTTCTGCATGTGTTCTTTAGAATTTCCTTTAATAATAGACCCTTTTCAATTTTTTCCCTTTGCATATGTTACAGTTTTTTTTATTTTTTGGGAAGATAGTTTGGCTGAATATGAAATTCTGCATTATTTGTTATGTTTTCTTAGCTCATTGAAGATACTATTTTACTGTTTCCTGGTACTCTATCTTGCTATTAAAAGATTGTTATAAATCTAATTAAGATTCTTACATAGGTAAGAATCTTATTAGCCTTTATTTTCTGGCAGGTTTTAATATCTCCTCTCTGTCTTTGGTACCATTCAGATTTATAATGAGATACTGAGGTGTTTATTTTTTACTTATTATGCTTGTAATTGAGCTCCTTACATTTGAGGATTGATGTTCATTATTTCTCTACATTCTTAGTATCTCTAAAAATTTTTACTTTTTCATATGCTGATGTGTTCTTCTGGGATTCTGATTACAAATGTGTTGTTTCCCTCTACGTGCATTCTACTGAATATCTTGTAACCTATCCTTCTACTTGTTTGTTTGTTTATTTATTTCAGACAGGATCTCATTGTGTTCCCCAGGCTGGTCTAGAACTCCTGACCTCCAGTGATCCTCTCGCTGCCTCTGCCTCTCAAAGTGCTGGGATTATAGGCATGAGCCACTGTCTGGCCCAGTTTTTACATTTTTGATGAAAATTCATCAATATTGTGTTATGCCAATTTCGTCTAAACACAATACTTTCCATTGAGTGTAAAAGTGGGGGAGAGGGGAGACAGCAGAAGAGAGAAAGATGTTGTTACCTCAGCTTTTATTTTTTTCTGCTTCCACTTTATCCTGGATGTTGGAAAACTGAGTTCTTGCTGCTTGCTATGGTCTGAATGTTGTCCCTCAAAAAGTTACAAGTTGAAATTGAATACCTATTGTGATAGTATTAAGAGGTAGAGACTTTTGGAAGGTGATTAAAGTGATGAGGGCAGAGTGCCCTTATAAAAGAAGGTGAAGTGAATGCCCCGGTCTCCTTCCACCATGTGAGGATGCAACAGCAAGGCATCTTCTATGAAGCAGAGAGAGAACCTTCACCAGATATTGAGTCTGCTAGTTCCTTGATCTTGGACTTATCAGCCTCCAAAACTGGGAGAAATACGTTTCTATTTCTTATTAATTACTCAGCCTAAGGTATTTTGTTATAGAAGCAGCAACAGACTAAGACCCTGGTCTTGTGGCCTGTGTGAGATAAGGTTTCACAGATCCCTTTTTGCTGGAATCTGTTTGAGGATCTCTAGCCTACACTTCTAGGGTCCCCACCCCAGGGTACATATTCTCTAAATGTTTCTCTTCTCCTCTATGTGGAAACTGTAGATAGTCTTTGGCATGAGAGAAATGACTGATTCTCCAGGAGTCTTCTAGATCTTTGTGTGATGGCAAAAGTTATATAGCTTTAGTCCTTAATCATAAAAGCCCATTTATTATAACTCAAAAGCCTGGGTAGGGTTTATAAAACTCAAAGAAGAATTCGATTCTTATTTTCTCAGGATTGCTTCTCTGAGAAAATTGTGAGGTAGACTTTTGTAGCCATTTTGATTGGGGGAAGAGGGTATGGCATTTCAAGAACTGAACTGGGAGCGAGTGTGAAACTCCTGTTAATATATCCTACTATAGTGATAGTGAAAGAGAAAGTACCACTAGAATTACCATGGAAGCCATGAATCAAATTTATCCTCATTTGAATATGGGGATTTGTACTTCCCTTTTTTTTTTTGGTACCAAACTGGTGAAATTAATACAGGTTCTAAGATCCTGGTTCAGCTTTGGTGATGAGTCTTAATATCTTATGATTACCACTGCTGTCTTGTGCATTTCTGACTCAATGTTGATAGTGATTGTCTCTATATTGTAATAAATTATTATTACTATTATTATTTAGGCAACTGAAGATTTAGTGCTATATTTTGTAAGTAAAATGGTTCCTTTGCTGTCCTTTAAAAATGTCCTTTGGGAACTGACAGAACCACTTAAAGTTCTGATTTCAAATAACTCTTCAAAATTGACCTCATTGTTGTTTAAAATAATTTCCATTATCTGACAAGTCATTTTCTTTATTTGTAGAAATGGGACTAAAAATATAATCTGTTTCAGATCCTTGACTTCCCCATAGTAAACATTGTAAGATACTTCTTAACATTTCTGTGTTAGTAAATGAAAGTAAGTGGGAGAAGGAAGGAAATTGGCCAGTTAGTATTGTTTAATGAGGGAAATTATTAAGTAAGCTGCTTTGGTGGGGAGATAAAACTGAAGATGTCTTTATCTATCTGATGCTGGAATTTATGAACTTTAGAGTTCTGTCCAATTCTAGCAATTCTGAAAGAGAAGAAATTTGTGATGCCCTTGTCTTTGAGGAATAGAGTTCTGCTTGTTACTATGTGATCTCTACTTATTTATTTCTGTTAAGTTCATTGTTTTGTTTTTGATGCATTTTCTTCACAAGTACTTTACTTCTAATGACAGAAGTAGAAAATTATCTGATCAGTAAACTTAATGCATGTTTTTAAATCTAAATTATATTATTCAATCCATCATTGGCAAGTGCTATAAACTAGAATATATCAAAGTATATGGAAAATTTGGTCCTAATTTACTATTTTCTTAAAAATTTTTGTGAAACTCTGATAGTGCAGCAACTGTTTTCTCTACCTAATGCCATTTTTTTCTTGGTTCTAGTGGGTTTTGATTGAAAATGCATAATCCTAAAACAATGTTTTTAAAATGTTATTATGCTTCTCCATCACATTTGCATTTTTAAATGTAGAAAAGTTAGCAATATCAGTCTGTAAGTCTAACTAAATTACTTGAATATTAAACATGTTTGTTTTCAATTTATATGGAGATTCAGAGTCATGAGCTCTATTTTACTGGTTCCTCCAGGTAAAATAGGCCAACTAAAAGATTTTGTCAGTTTCATTCCTATTATGATTTAATTTAGTTAGAGAATTTCAGTAGATTATATGTGTTAAAGAAGTTTCTGATAAGAAAAAGTATGCAAAATCTATTAGACATACTGTATGAGGAATGTTTATGAAATAGTTTAAAATGTAGACAGTATAGAATTACTAGGTACAGTTTTTTGCCTACAGCAGTTGACTATCAAATGATTAGAAATGTTGGAACACTTGGTATATCTTTGAAAGAAAAATCTTTAGAAGTCTGTATCTACCCTTGGCAAGTAGCCAAATCCATGTATTATGGCATTTTAATATAATTTTGTTTTTATATCAGATTTTTAAATATTTTTAGCTGTGGGAAATTGCTTTCTCCAGTCAACACATGATTAAATTATGGCTTTTTCATGTTAGAAATAATTCCAGCATATGTATATTGGTCCATGTGAATACCTAAATTCGGCCCAAATGATTTACTATTTATCATATCATTTTGGATTCATGCAGAATTAGTTTTTTTAAGCGCCTTTTAAGAATCACTTTCCCTAATAGTATGTGCATTAACTCTTTGAGGGCATTAGAGTATAATCTGGAAGAAAACAATGTTCTCCTTGAAATGGGTCAAATAGAAAACCTCTTTTTAACTTAAGATTCTTTTTAATTTGGTCAAGTGTGCTATAAATACCAATTATAGAACCAAAGTAAGGTTTCCAAGGATATGACCCTTCCTTGGTTCTGCTGTCATCATACAAATGTGAGTTGCTATTCTGTTTTTCAAAAGCTGCAAATAAGGAGATGCTATAATATTTCTCTGTCGTTTTTCAATTATAAGTTTTTTTTATTAGGTTAAGTTTTGGGGGTTTTGTTTGTTTGTTTTTTTTTTTAATCAAAATCTCTACCAGCTTACTGGGACATAGATTAAGAAATTGAACAGTGTGAGTTATGTTTTCTTTGCCAAAATGGAGTCTTTTCTCAAATTTGTATGGAGCAAAATTGCAGACATATCCACAGACAGGATGATTATCAGTCTAAGAAATCAGTTTTGGGTTTTGTTTTTTGTTTTTTTTTTTCATGAAAAAAAGCAAGTTCACAAGTATGAAGAATATAGAAGCACCTTTACTTCGGCTAAGGGACTCCAGGAAGGTTTATTGGATGTTTCTTGGTGCCATCTGGGCTTCAAAATATACTTAAATATTCATATACATAAAAGAAGATGGAAGAAATTTAGCTACAAATGTTTGTAAAAGCAGAGGCAGAAGAAAGCAGGGTACAATCAGAAGACTGAGTGTTCCACTGTGACCAAAAATCTGTTGTAGAAAATCTGGTCATGAAGAGATGCCTGTGGTTACACTTTATGTTCTTTATGAAATACTATAGCAAATGAATAAATACTTAATAGAATGTTCTTTGTGTACACACACACACACACGAATGCTGTTCTTCTGGTAAAACATTTTAACTGTCTATTTATTGAAGAATGTGTTTAGTATCTGAATAATTTTGTGTGGTGGGATCTGTAATGTCATATTTTCTCCTTTAAGCACTTAAATTCATCATGTAAGGGAGTGATCCCCAACCTTTTTGGCACCAGGGGCTGGTTTTGTGGAAGACAGTTTTTCTGTGGACTCAGGGTTGGGGAGCAGTTGGTCTCAGAATGAAACCATTTCACCTCAGATCATCAGGCGTTAGGTTCTCAAAAGGGCCATGCAACTTAAATCCCTCATATGTGCAGTTCATAATAGGGTTCATGGTCCTGTGAGAACCTTATGCCCCTGCTGCTGCTGCCGATCTGACAGGAAGTGAAGCTCAGGTCATAACACTTGGCCACTGCTTACCTCCTGCTTAGTAGCCTGGTTCCTAATAGGTTGGGGACTTCTGGTATAAGGGTTTTTACAGTTTGAAAGAAATCCTGTCTAACTTCTCATCAACATTTTTTTCCTATGGTTTTCCTTGTTCCTAACTTGTTTTCAAATAAAATGGTAAGTATTACTAATTGATATTATTTATGTGGGCTGTAGGCAAAAAATCAGTTAACAAATTGATATTTATTTATAAACAACATTTTGGACAGAGATGCTCTCTGTGAATGCCAAAGCACTGCTGCTTTGAGTCGATTAAGAAAATAAATAAGGCTCATCTAGAAATTCAAGTCCAACTGATTTACCATTTACTCTATCATTTGGGTCTGTACAGATTTAGCTCATTAAACACCTTTTAAGAATCTCTTTTTGCTAAAAGTAGACTGGGGAAAAAGTACCAAAACAGTCTTTGAAAAAATTACTATTTGCAAAAAAGATTACAGAGGCAGTAAAACGTTGAATTCAAAATAATTATAATTAGAGTAGAGCTTCTTACAGTTTCTGAAGTACCAGTTCAAAAATGATAGGAATAGAGAGAGAATATTTTAAGTGTAGACAAATTAATGCCAACCAAAGTGACATTAGAATGTGTTTGTATTTTTGTGTTTATACATGCTCATCTTGTTATTCTGCTACTATGTGAAACATATGCTTTTAAGTGCCAGAGATTTAAAGATAAATGTAACAACCTCCATTCTGAAGGAGCTGATATTCTAGTAGGAGAACCACATTTTTAAACCAATAATGAAAACACGTAAAGAGAGTCAAACATACTGAGCTCTGCTGGAAGTTTATCAGAGCGCAGGTGAATCAACTCAACTTGGAATGGGAGCCGTGAGGTTGAAAATGATTCATAGAGATGTGATGTTTACACTGAAGCTTGAAGGATAAAGGAGACTTTCCCATGTGGACATTGGAGGCGAACAGTGCCCACATGTGCAGACCTGGGGCATAAAACAATGTATAGTCTGATTGCTGGATTCTGACATGAGGATGAGTGTTAGAAAGTGACTGAAGCAGGCTGGGCATGGTGGTTCATGCCTGTAATTCCAGCACTTTGGAGGCCAAAGGAGCCGGATCACGAGGTCAGGAGTTCGAGAGCAGCCTGACCAACATGATTAAACCTCGTTCCAATCAAAATACAAAAATTAGCCGGGCATGGTGGCAGTGCCTGTAATCCTAGCTACTCAGGAGGCTGAGGCAGGAGAATCGCTTGAACCCAGGAGGTGGAGGCTATAATGAGCCAAGATTGCACCAGTGCACTCCAGCCTGGATGACAAGAGCGAGACTCCATCTCAAAAAAAAAAATAAAGTGACTGAAGCAAACAAGGTTCGGGTGGGTCCTACAGAGATTAGGACGCCATCTTGAGGTGTTTGGAAATTTCTCCAGAGGCTCCACATTGCCTTCAGATTAATTAGGCAAGCAACCTGATCAGATCTGTTTTTAGAAACAGAACTTCTGTAGATGTGTAGAAGAGTGGCTGGAAAGAGAAAGGACTGATGTTTTTTTTTTTCATTGAAAAAAAAAATTGATTAGTTCCTATAATGGCTTAGGTATATGGTTTGAGACTCCTGAGTTACAAAGCAAAGAAAACCTGGCCTCTGCCTTGCTCAGAGAATAGCAGGGATACCGCATTTTTAGCACATAAAAATATAGTATGGAAAGGTCTGTAGTGATAGTAGTCATTTTGACAATAAAAACGAATGTGTGAAACTTCCAGGTCTGTGTGTCTTTTGGGGTTGGTGGGTCAAGGGAGGGGATCCAAAGATGGTTTCACTAAGAAGGGAAAAATGTTGGACATGAGACTTGAACTCAAAGTAGAATTTTGCCAGGCTGATGATCTGTTCTTCCAGGTAGATAAGCCATCCTGGGCAGACAAAACCAGGCTGTAGGAGGAATGCCATTTGTGAAGCAATAGAAATTTCTCATTGTTACTAGAGTATAGTGTGTGCAAGAAGCAGGCAAGGTAGACGGGGACCACCATGAAGGATACTCTGGATAGGGGAGTAATATCACATTTCTGTGATAGAACAAATAGAAGAAGTTTAATATCGAGATGTAAGAAAATTGATGGAGACAGTTCAGGTGGTCCAGGCAAGAGATGACATACCTAGTTTATAGGCAGGGATAGGGAGAAAGCATTAAGGGAAAAGAGGTGAAAATTAGAAGGAGATAGAATTAATGATTTGGTGTGGGGAGTAAAAAAAAAGAATGATGTTTCTTGTATGTGTAATTGGGTGGTACCATTCAATGAATAAGGAGTCATGTTGAATTTTAGGGGATATTTTTGAGTTTACATCTACTCAGCTATTGAATGTATGGAGTAGAACTTGGGAGAGAAATCTGAGCCAGATATTCAGGATATGTCAATTTATAGGTGACTGTTGCAGCCTTGGGTGTGGATGCGTTCTCAGGATTGCTATGGCATTAAGGCCCAGATGTAACCTCAATGAACATCATTTCTACGGGATGAGCAGAGGAAGCAGAAACACTGGCGAAAACAAAGAAATCATTTGAAAAATAGGCAAAGTTGTCACCTGAAGCCAAAGGAAGAGAAAATTTCGAGCAAGAGGTTGTCAGGTGCCTCAGAGAGTTATGAAGATTAAGGACTATAGGAAGCAGTTTGAATTTGGCTTTAGGAGGATCTTGCAAAATAAGTTTTCTTTTTTTTCTTAGCAAAGGACATGATGGGTTGCCAGGCACAGTAGCTCACACCTGTAATCCCAGTGTTTTGAGAGGCTAAGGCAGGTGGATCACTTGACCCCAGGAATTGGAGGCTAGCTTGGGCAACAAAGTGAGACCCCATCTCTAAAGAAAACAGAAAAATCGCCGGGTGCTGTGGCTCATGCCTGTAATCCCAGCTCTTAGGGAGGCAGAGGCAGTAGGATAGCTTGAGCCCAGGAGTTCAAGACCTGCCTGAGCAATATAGCAAGACCCTGTTCTCCATAAAAAGGAAAAACAAAGATGAAAAAAAAAAAGGAAATCAGAAAAATTTTTAGCTGGGTGTGGTGGCATGTTCCTGTAGTCCCAGCTACTTGGGAGACTGAGGCAGGAAGATTGCTTGAGCCCAGGAGGCAGAGGTTGCAGTGAGCTGAGATCACGCTACTGCACTTTAGTAGCATGGGTAACAGAGAAAGACCGTCTCAAAGAAAGAAAGAAAGAAAAAATGATGGGGTGGGGAACTAAACCCAGATTATAGTATACTGAAGAGTTTCACTTTGTTTAGTCTTTCAAAGTAGGAGAAACTTGAACATGTTTAGGGACTGAGGCAAAGGAGATAAGAATGAGAGAGATATAAGTGAGAGGAAGGGGAAATTCGTGGAGCAGGTTCAGGAGGAATTCAGAAGGCATGCAAATTATACACTAAATCACTAGTAAGTAAGTAGTTAAGAATAAGCTAATATTGGAAGGAATTAACCTGAAGGAGGCAGAGAGGTAGATGCCTTCCAGCTCTGAGAAAGAGGATGGATGCTGATTAAACATTTGTAAGAGTTTGTGGAGTGTTAGAAGTTGAGAGAACGCAAGCTTGAGGTCTTATAATTGTTCTTTCAAGCCAGTCAGGTTCTGCGATTCCCCGAGCCAGGAAAAGAATTGGTAGGGCCCTTGGGACAGAGGCTAAATTTTGGAAGAGCTGCTATGAGAAGTGGCAGAGGGAGCTGACGAGCAGAATGTAGAATTGCTGAGTGGTTTTGAGTGCTTGGAAACTGTAAATTTTTAGTGGCATCAGTCCACGTGATTGTGGTATTTCCTCCAGCAGAAGTCAGCAGTCCAGTTATGGGAACTCAAAAAATGCTGATTGAAACTGAAACTGTAGGTGCTGTGAGCCCAAGATGGTATAAGACACCTATCAAATTTCATAAATTCAGATTTGTAGATGACAATAGACTGAATTATTTTGTCATTTCTAAAATTAGTGAATGCTGTATCTCAGGTGCTAAATGGACACAATTAGTTTTCTATGTAATGTTTCCTATCCAGGAATATCCTCCATTACTTAAACACTGTAATCACTACATGCATGCTTCCCCCTTTCCCCTATCATGCGTGTGTACACACACACACACACACACACTAAATATGGCATGATCTTCATTCTTCCAGTGCCTATTTTTGTGCATAAAATATTCTTATTTCACTTAGAGCATTTTATCTGAATATTAAAGATTTCTGAATTTGTCCACATATGAATACAAGATTACTCCTGATAAATGATTCTATTGCAGGCAGATGAATGCTCATTCCCAATGAATTAGTAAATCTGGGGCAAGTCTTACCTAAATGTAGTTCTTATATGGCTCTCTCCATAAAATCTGCCACAAGCTTTTTTTTTTTTTTTTAAATTTTTTATTGGATTTTAGGTTTTGGTGTACATGAGCAGAGCATGCAAGACAGTTGCGTAGGAACACACAAGGCAGTGTGCTTTTCTTTCCTTCTCCCCTTCACCCATATTTGGCTTTTCTCCCCAGGCTATCCCTCCCCTTTTTTTTTTTTTTTTTCTGCCACAAGCTTTTATTTTCCCTCTTAGATAGGCAACTTGATCTCTTCTTTCTGTATCTTTTTCGTATTTTGTCCATATTGCACTTATCACAGAATTTCATGGTTCTTTCTGGATAATTTCATATTCCATGAGAGTGGGGACTGAGTCTTACTCATCTTTGTATTTCCAATATCTTCCTGTTGCCTAGTGCAAATTGCACATTAAATCACTAATAAGTGAATACTAATTTCATGAGTGACTCATTACTTCTTCAAAATGAGTTAAGTGAGAGGAAAAATCAAACTTTATGACTATCTGTAATTTCTCTTTGTCCCCTCTTCCCACCTGCAGTATCATCTGATTTACCTTTTTAACCTTTGGCCAGTTGAAGAGAAGAAGTTTATTTCTTGAATAATATCAGGCCCAATTATACTAGGCATTGGAATAGAAAAAAAAAAGTATGATATCTACACACAGTCCAAAAACCCACACTAAATCTACCAACGTTATTGATAAATAAAAAGAGAGTTTTAAATTCTTCATGCTTAGGTTTTATGGATAATGTAAATTTAGAGTAAAGCTAATGAAAAATTAGCCAGATGTGTGAGAGAGGAGGAGAAAAGGGAGAGAAGTAAAGTGTTTCTATAAATTTCAGTAATCTTGATGTTTATAGTCTGAAACATATTTTCTTTGCTTGACCTTGTTTTACTTTTGTTTGTAAGACGTCTCCAATTAGCTAGGGTCTCTTTTAAATATAACTTTAGACAAATTACTGAACAGCACATTATCCTACCAACAATTTTGTCCTTTTGATTTAGGATCTTTAAGTTATATTTGCATTTATAAAGTCCTGGTCCTGAGAACTTTCTTAGGAAGTTACAAAAAATTGACACAAAATTTTAGAAAAATAAAACAAGGTAACATAAAATTCAAGTAGTGTACAGTTACAAATAGTTTTAATAGCACTTGGGTTTTTATCTTGGAAGCATTGTGCCCAGATTATTGATAGTCTAGGCATAGATAATGTGTTTCTTAGCAACTCATCCAGTTCTTACTGGATCTAAAATTACATGCGATGCTTCTCTTTATCCCAACATTTGAGGTTTCATTTTGTTCAAGAGACATTGTATGAAATAAATGTGTAGGTGGTCCTGTAAGATCATTTATTTTGAGGAAGAAGGGTGCTACTAAGATACCTGCCCAGGAGTTTTTCTTTTCAAATTGATTTCATGACTTTCTCTTGAAATATATAATTCACAAGTACAGTACATTTTCTGAAGCGAGTAATTGCTGGACAATGAGAAGCTCCGGAATAATGAAATAATCTTCTAAGTGGGCAGTTATCATCTATGGCAGCTTTTTCAAAAGGGGCATGCCACTTTATTCTCATGCATGATTACTAATAGGTGATTATGCCAAATTTTAAAAACACAGAGGTTATGTGATGTGTCTGATTCTGTGAAGGTGGGTGGTGGGGAGATAAGGAGCAACATGCCGTGACTTTAGGCAGAAATCAGGGAGGAGAGCCTCTTCCAAATAATGCATGAGAGAAAGCAGAGGCTGATCCTCTTACCTCCCCTTATAAAAAAAAAAAAAAAAAAAAAGCCTTGGCTTGCCAACACCTGCTATGTATCATGCCCAGATAACCAATTTCCATAGAGTTAGAATGAAATAAAGTATGCTTATAAGAGATTACACTGAATGTAATTATCCTTCTTAAAAATGCCAAAGACATTTCAAGATTTTTCCATGTTTCGTGATTAACATTATGATTGTCATCTTAAAAGAGATATATTTAGTTCATAGAGAATTAAGCTATGGCAACTTTGATAATACTATAAGTTAATATAGCATTTCTGATAACTCTGGTTTTTAAATTTTATTATTCTTTGTTTAAAAGATTGGATGATGTTATATGATCATCAAAATGAGTTTCTTGGAATTTGAAATGAATGTTACCATTTCTTTAAATATACAATTTTAAGTTATAGTTTTGAAGTAATTAATGAGTTAAAATTTGGTTTTAAAATAACATCAGTAATATTCTGTATTCATCAAATCTTCCTTTTTTGCTATATTAAGAAAATGTGGAATGATCAAAACAATTTTTTTTTACTAACAGAAATATGAGGTTTCCTATTGAGTTTAGAACACATTCTTAATTATAAACAGTCACAGAAATTTCTGGGGATTACCAAGCACTTGTATGTTTTTGCAGTGGGGCTTTATCACCAGT